TTAGCCTATCTATGCCTGTATACAGTGTACTTACAGATTGTTTAAAAGCTGCAGGTACTGTGTTCACATTGTGTTGCAAATGAATACTGACTTTGTTTTTCTGGTGTCTTTTTTTATCCTACACCAACAGACGCAGCAGTTTCAGTTTGGATGTGTCTGCTGAAAAGACAAAATTCTCATTATCTTAAAGTTTGTAGCACTTGGTAGGAGTGTGCAAGTGGCTGATTTTCTGACTGTTCTGAGACACAAGTGTACCTTCTGACACATGCTTAACATCCTAAGTGTTGTAACAGCTGCTGGTCTACAGTGCTGAAATCACCTATTGTAAAGGTTAATGTAGCTGAGTGTGAGGTTATAGCAGCCTTTTACCAAAATATCTTGCAGTGAAGATCCCCACTGTAATTAGAGGGCATATTATACTGGAGTAGGCATATATATTAAAAAAAAAAGGTGGAGGACTGTAATTCTCACTTTCCTGAGGCAAGCACCAAAATTTGTCATCTTAATTAAGATGATCTAGAAGGACACAAATTCATTTTCTAAGTGGAAATATCAGCGAAAAACCCAAAATAATCTTTACTGGGTGCATATTTTTCTGTATCAACTGTTGTCCTTCCTTTGATTAAAAAAAAATCCTATATAAATACTGATTAGCTAATATGGTAAATAACAGGAGAGTCTGATAAGTTAGAAGTATGTGGTCTGGGCATCAAAATAATTTAAGAGTTTGTAGTTTTCACTGCATTGGCTTGCAAGCTTGTTTCCATATTGGCTGCTTTAAGAAGGTTTGAGGACACATTAGCATTTTACTTAAAAAAAAAAAAAAAAAAAAAAAAAAAAGACTAAAAAGACTAGAATCAGCAAGTAAGCCTTTAAGTAGGTTATTTATACCTTAGCATGTAATTGAAAATTTCAGAAACAATTATTTTTGCAATTGACTTTCAGTTAATGGTAAGTTATGGGCCTGACCCAAGGCTAAAAAGCTATTGCTTAGTTCAAACGCCTGTCAAGCCAGGGTTCAAGCAAAGAATAAAAATGCTTATGTTAGATAATATGCTAAGGTTAAAAAACAAACCCCAAAGCGTCCATAACAACCCAAAAACCCAGAAAGGGGAAAGTCACGGCACATGGATTCATGTTTTTCAGATCTGCAGAAGTGGAATTGGATTTGTAACGCTCCACAAGTTTGAGACTGCTCAGGATTCTGGAGCACAGTGGTCTCTAGTGAGGAATGACTATAATTAACAGCTGCATTTTTATCAGCCAAATTTCGTCAGATCTGAGCATTATAGATGACCTGTAGTATAGGAAGTTGTGCTGGGAAAATGGAAAATGCTCCTACTGTAAGCAGCAAAGTTTTTATTTCTGAATTTTGAGTAAACTAGTTGCTAATAGCCTTCTATCAAGGAATTGAGGGGAAGCCACTGCAAAGTTTAAGCATGAGTGTACCTGCAGAAAAAGTAAAATGAAAATCATCTAGTGATTTCTTCAAATCTCAGTAGAAGCATGAAGTGCTATCTCCATCCAGTTCTTACATGTCCCCTTCAACTGGTGTATGTGTTGACCAGAAAAAAAAATGCACAGCACAGTCAATACCCTCTATTTGCAACTGTTGTGATGGATTTCAGAAATACCTGTGTACTGGGAGGCTTGTGAAAATGTAAAATACTAGGGTTGTGAACCAGCAATATCATAAAGATTTTTTTTTGTGTGTGTGAATGAAAGACAGACTCATTGAAGTGCTGACCAAAGATTCAGAGAACCAGTGAATTGCAGATGGTAAAAGAAAAAAAAAAAAAAGTCTGTCTTTTCAGGGTGTGAAATTATGTGTTTTGATGCCATCCCAATGAAGCTGGAGGAGAGTACCTTCTTGAATTAAAAGCTTTTTGATTCAGGGGTGGTCACAGCAGAAGCAGTTTTTCAGCAGGGTGGGTGCTTCTCTGCTGTATGTTCATAGGCTGCACCATCATGCTGACAGGTAGGCCAACACTGTGGAATCGGCCATGTGCTGCTTTTTTGTTATAGGAGAGGCAGTTTAAGAAGCTATTAAATAACCAATGTGGTTTGGAATTAGAGCTAATTGAGAAGACCAGGGATGTCAGTGACACACATTTGAGACTTTCAGAGCAAGTTATTAGTAGTGTAGGAAAGTTTACTTTAACAGGTTATAAAAGGAGGTGTCATTTATATTTGCTTTCTTTGATTCAAGAGGTTATGTGTATGTCTGAATGTCAGTGGGAACCTAGCTTCTAGGCCACTGATAGCTGCTTTGCTAGCAAAACAAATGTTGCTGGAAATAACTCTATAGCTGTAGCTATAAGAAAGCCTGAATTTTAATCAACTTTGCAGACACACAACCTTTCTGAATGTTCGTTGTTAAATAAAATGATGCAGTTGTCCCTTTGAGATTGCATTTTGTACTAGACCTCCCACTCTTGGGATTTACAGGCTGTACTTACATCATTATATATTTAGTGTATTTCCAGAGAGTTAGATGGTTGAGAAATAGGTTTCACTTTTTTTTTTTAGTTTCCATACATGAAGAACCAATGGCTATTAACATGACGGATCACTCTAGGTAAAAAGTAAAAAACCCCACAACTGTTTGTGTGAGCACAGAGTGGGTATGTCTTTGGCCTAAGCTGTAAAAGTAAGCTCTTGTTGCAGAGCTTGGCTTACCAAGGATGTTACATGCACAGTATAAAAAAAACAGGAGGTGTTGTTTTTTTCATGATGACCTAAGCTGTAGTTGTAGGAAGCCCTCTGGTGATTGTGAATTTGTCTCTTGGTCATTCCTTTACTAAACAGCAGATGGAAAGAACCTGCCTTATTTCTTGCTTTGTTGTGTATACAATGTGTTGTTAAGAATTGATAGCCTGACCATAGCAAACATACTGGGCTAGATGGACTGTTGATCTGATTCAGTAGGACATTTATTATGTTGAATGTGCTTGTAGATATTTTGAGTTCATTGAATTTTGATGTCTTCTGTCACTTGTTGTTAACCTTTGTCTGAAATTCTGAAAACATAAGTTAAGCAAAGTTTGGAAATAAAGTACTTTGCCTTCTGGGAGCATGCCCAGACCTACCAGCCTTTACAGCTCGTTTTTTTCTGAGCTCAGTGAGTAAATAAATATTTTACATTGAATAAAACAGAACCAGCAGAAGGCACCGAGTCATGCATCTCAAAGCATTCTGTAACAGTTGCAGTGTGGCTTCGTGAATAAGAAGTGTGGTCCGTACACTTGCATAGCTACATCTTCATCATACATAGCAATTTGATCTAGTAGAAGGGCTGCAGTCCTTCTCCTGAGTAGAAGCCACCACTTGTTTCTGAAACAGTGAATGGTGAGAGGGCTCAATTCCCTTCAAACAGAGGGGTAAGTTAAACTGGAGTATTTCAGAACTGTGAGAGTATCCTACCTACCGGTTCACTGGCCAGAAAGAGGACTGCTGACACTGGTGATTTGGGGTCTCAAGCTTTATTTCCTTGGAGTTTTGTACAACTATCTAAAAGTCAAATGTGTAAAATAGGGCAAATAATTTGCATTGACATTTTTATAGTTCTCTTTCTGTTATTAATGTCCATGGAAGAAAAAAATATAAGTCTGGTCAGTCTGATTTCAAGTTTTTGTTCTCTTTATCTTTTGACTTGGAATTAAATCTGAAAAATCAGTTCTTTATGCTATATGCTGTCACTTGACTGTGTGCAGCTTGAAGCTGTGGGAAGTTAAGGCTACAACTAGTATAGCTTGTAATAAAAGAATAAACTTGGCACATGTATAACCTTTACTAAGAAAAGTAAACCACTGAACTACCTTTAACCTTAATTCTTTAGAAGTTGTCGTTACTATCCTTACTTGCAAGTGAAATGTGGAATGACTATTCTGTGATAAAAAATTCAGATCTATTTCTACAGAACTTGCTATAGAAACCCTAAACCTACTGTCCTGTATTAAATCAATGCTAGGTTCACTGGAAGGTAACAACGTATCTCTCAAGTCTGCACAATTGCAGTACCTTATTAGTTTATTATACAGCAGCAATGGCTGTAATAAGTCCTGCTTAAAAAGAACAGATATCCATTATATTTGTGTTTGAAGTGTTTATTGGCTAAAAAGGCTCTGCAGAGCTATGTTTTATGGGAAGTTAAGTTACTGGAAAATTTAAAATGTCTTTTATTTTTGGGACAATAATCGGTTGCACTCCTACTAAAGCACAGTTATAACTCTTTGTTGGCACACACACATTGCACTGCATCTAAAGGCCTGAACCACGGCCCAGTGAACTCCGTGAAAACCCTTAAATTAACATCAGTGGACTTTGGATCAAGGTCCTAATGAATGATTTGTTCACTTGAAAGACCCTACTTAGCTTTACTTTCGTCTTATTGACTTCAGTAATAGGCTTTCTTGACACTTAGAAAATATTTGTTATTGCAGGGTGTAAAATAACTAAATGCTTCGCTTTCTCCTGCTATTAATTGTCAGGACTTGTAAGGGATGCTGTATTTTTGTTCTTAAAGAGTTTATTATGACCATTGCAATTTGGAATTGGTAAGATACAGGTATTATGCAGACAGCATTAATGTTGTTGTTTTGTGGTAAGTTCAATAATGTGATGTATAATTTTGCTTTAAAGCTCCTTTTTATTGACTACTAGAGAACTTATATTCAAAGGTCTTCTAATGCAGTTATCTGTATGCATTTTTTTAATAGATGGTTAATTCTCTGGAACGGAAGACAAGGAATTATATGTACTTTAAATCTGTAATTTTACGGTTTATGGATGTATCTGCATATTTTTTCACAATTAGGAATGAGGAATCTGAAAAAATCATTTAATCTCTTGAAATTCTAAGCCTGGGCTGGAGCCACCTCTGTATTCCGACTGTACAGAGGTGGTGTCTGGCTTCTGACAGAGGGCAGTGAGACTTGTGGTTGTGGCTAATAATTGCTTATGGCATGTTTTTTTTTTTGTTTTTTTTTTGTTTTTTTTTTTTTGTACCTAGGTGAAATGTCAACAAAAGTGCCAAGCATTAAACTGAAAATTGATCCTCGGGATCTACAGATCCAGACCTTTACAGTGGAGAAATTATTGGAACCATTGATAATTCAGGTATTTTAGTATAGCAGATAATAAATTGGATAACTATAGAGGAAAAGGAATAAAGCTGAAGAACTCTGGCTGCAGACACTATTATGAAAGGCATACCCACAGCTCTTCTGTACTCGTAGTTTACTCTGGCTCAGAAACTGTCCCTGAGGATCTGACCTCTTTCAGATTTGGTCATTCAGTAGTCACTTACATTTTTGCAAGTGCTACACAGTATATCATAGAAAATGTTACATGTTCTAGCTAGTCTCTTCTATGGTATTATCTGTGGGTGTTTAAACGTAGATACACTGCAAATGGATTTCCAACACGTGAAAAGTTTTGTATTGCAAGCAGTGGGCAGGGTGGAAAAGATAAGCCTTGAAATCTGTAGGTGAGTTTCTTTATCTGTGTTTTGAAAAGAATTGCGTCTGCACTGAATGGATTTACAAAAATGCTTTCAGGTTTGTTAATAAAACTTTCTTTCTAGGAGGAGCAATTTCACTGCATATTCCAGTTCCGTTTCAAGTATTAACTGGTTAAATATACAGTACTTAGTGTGTTAAACATTCTCTCGTATCTTTTTTTGATATGGATTACAAATGACTTTTTAAATACAATTGAAAGGACATACTTGCAGGCCTGACCTCATTTTGCAAATAATGTATATAACTAAGAACGTGTTAAAAGACCTCTGTATCGATATGGTTCAGGGTAAAGAACAGAAAGGATACCTATTTTGAAACTCAAGCTGTTTTGAATTTCTCTTCATTGTACTTAGAACAAAAATGTTGGGGTGCCTGCATTTAATTAGTCAATTACACATAATGCAAGGATGCCTGCTTATCACTGTCTTTCAGCTTTGCCATGATGATGTAGATCAGTCTACTTATCGCAGCTGTATACTTCTTAGTTAGTATTCTTTTCCTGGTGCCTGAGGGTGTGTTTACCTGGCAGTCTCTGCTCTGGCAGCAGTTTGTGTAGGTGCAGAAAGCTGTGACTTCATTCAGAATTTTCTTTCACTGGCTAATGTACAAAGAATACTTTGTTGTTTTTCAGCTTGTGAAGATGGTCAGGTATAATCGCTATGAAGTAGATTCAATAGTTGGTTGAGCTCTTTGAGTGATGCCTCTTACAAGACAGTAACTTTTTGTTGAATAGGTTATGTTTGCAATCGACAAATAAAACTTACTGGGAGGATGACTCTAGGTACACAAAGCAAAGCCAGATAGAGAACTGTACTCTGGCTGTTACTCTATTTCTATACATGTAAAAATTGGAGGTGTACAGGTTAATAGAAAAAAAGTAAAGGCTTATCTACCAAGTTTTTGATTATTTCATTTTTCTCCATTTGCAACTTTTTTTTTAACCTTTGAATTATGACTGAAACAATTATTATTTTACTTGGACAGATATTAAAGGAAAAAAAAATTCATACACCTCATTTGACTGCTCTTAGCCACTTAGGTACATGGTAAATTTTGTTATTCCAGGAGCGCACTTCTTTTCACACACACACTGCTCTGATGACGTCTTTCCTTCTTTGTCTGTAGCCAGTCCTTTGCATGCTGTTTCCCTGAGCTTGCCAAAGAATGGTGACCAGATCACAGATACAGGGGAACAGTCAGATTCTAATTAAAGAGGCAGCACGTAATGCTTGAAGGGAAGAATAGAGAGATGAAAGATGAGGACAATAAAATTATGAGTGTGTTTGGTATGATGGTTTCTATGTTTATTTGGACTGTCATGTTGGAAAAGTTGTTTATTCCAGAAGCGCTGTATGAGCACTAAAAGCTAAGAAAAGCAAAGAAGTGCTGATCATGTTTTAGTTATAGGAAAAGTTGCTTTTAAAAATCATTTAATTCATTGAAATAAGTTTCTCTTTAATAAATAAAGTTGTATTTTCCCCATTTGAAACTTTTGCCTCTCCCTAACTCATCCAGTTTCTTTAATTTCTATTCTTATTTTTGACTTGATCTTCTTTTTCTCCCTTACTCATTTGTTTCTTCTGGAAGATTCTTTTCTTCAGAAAGTAACTTTTTTCTTTTTATCATTACTTCATTTCCACCTGCCTCTCATGCATTTTTTTCTGCTTTGATTTATTTATTTTCGCTTGTGTATGATTGACAGTGTATAAAACATCAGTTAACAGTTCAGTGGTTTGTGGGAAATTGTCAAGCTGGAGCATCATAAGAGGATGGATTATAAAATTAGTTTCAGAGTATGGGAATAGAGGTCTTTATAATAGACTGCATTTTAAAACCTTCTCTCGTATACCAGTACATCCGATTGTGCTCAAGCAGCTGCAACGCTGTGGGTGTTTTTAGAGGAGCTGAAGAAACATAAATTTTGGCCTGCGTTCTACAGGGTCAAAACCCCCTGACATAACAAAAAAGTACAGTTCTAAAATAAAACAATCTATTTTTTTATATGTATTTTTAAGCTCTTCTCAAGCATCTTTAAAAGGCTTGCGTCTGTCAAAACTGGAAATGCTTTGGTTCAACGAGAATACAATTTTGACTGTCTCTTCCCCCTCCCAACCTTAATGCTTTGTTTATTTCATAACAGAGCTGTGGGATGGAAACTTACATATTTAGTGGAAAGTGCTGTGAAAGGCTCTGCAGAAAGAGAAACTCATATGCTGGAAATGGCATAACTGCATTAGTGTAATTCTGTGACCAGCCATATAATCTGTATTCTCATGGGGCTGTATGACTCTGTTTACTATATATTGCAGAAAAATTTTTTTAATCCTGTCCAACTGCCCCCTCACCAGAAGGGGTTCCATCTGTCTGTGGCCTTTATATTATTCCAGGTGCTTTAAGGACATTAGTTTTGAAAGGAAGGCTTTCAGGTAAAGTTCTCTGACAGTGCTTCTGGCACATTAAAAATGATGGTAGTCAAAATTAATGTAGTTCAGCTGACAGATGCCTTAATGTAAATTGAGTACTTGCTCAGACAAACAATCGTTCTTTAATTCTGGGGTTTTATTAGGGGTTAGAGATGCAGTCTGTCATGGAGAAGTAGTGTGAAGCAATCAGTAGATTATAAAGCATTTTCATTTGTATAGTTGATGTCTAGTATTTGTTATACTTCTGCTAGATTTACAATGTATAACAATTAATATAACGGAAAATATCCTCTTGTTTTATGTCATCCTGAGAGACTGAGGTCTGTCTAATATCTTTGCTATACTATGTAATGATTACAGTTATGGCTAGGTATGAACTTGCTTCTGTAGCAAACTATTTGCAAGTAAAAGTTTTGAAAGATATCACTTGATGAGATTCATATTGCTGCATTAATTAATGCAGGAAACACTTCATAACTGCCTTTGCAGTCATTGCAAGTCTTATAAGCTGTGAATTTACCACTTATTTGGATATTGTATATAAAGCTTTCTGTATGTTTATACACGCATACTTAATATATGCATTATGTGTGTGTACGTATACATAAGCAAGTATTTGTAAGACCTTTTCCTCCCCAAAACCTCTTGCTTACACATCTTTATATTTTTATACATACATATAAGTTAAGGAAAGTTTATGGCTGCAAGAGACAGTTAAGTTTTATGAAGTATATAGAAACATCCATGTATTTCAGAGTCCCTGGCTTCACTGATGAAAAATGGGCAAGTTGAAAGTCATTTACTCTCACCTGTCATCCACACTGACAGAAGTCTGCTCACACAGAAAACTTATACTGTTGGCTTTAGTTTTATGTGATGTTTTAGTTTTGATGAGTTTTGATGATTTAATATGATGAGCTTTAGTTATGGTGAGTTTGCTTTATGCACACCGAATTGTGATTAACTACTATTTATTTGTATGGGCAATACTTTGGAATTGAAACAGTGAGCAGGGTTTGAAACAATTCTGCTGTTCTCATTGGATCACTGAGTTCATGTCTTGTTTTTTTTCAAATATCTAGGGATTGTAGTTACACTGAAATAAATTTTAAACTAAAAAAGCTTTATGATGTTTTAAAATAATTTTATATGAATAGAAAAGGTGAACCAAATCTTTTGATACCCAAGATACCAAGGCATTGTTTTCTTAACGACTGCAGTATTAAAAGATTGTCTATAAGGGCTGGCAGGAACTGAATATATCATTGGAAGAACTACTGCATAGTTCCTTAGGAATTCAGTATTTGGGATAATCATGACAAAAAATCCCACCCCTTCAGCCTAATAAATAATGGCAGTAATGGGCCACAACATCATAATCCAGCTTTGCAGCTGTGATGGCATATGGGCTTCAAAATATCTCTTAAAGCTTTGTGCTTCTAGTACAGCTCTGTTGTTCCTACCAGAGATACAAAATAACCTCTGGACAAGGATTTCCATTGAACCCTGGGAGACCTGCTGTAGTATGCAGTAAGAAGGTGTTAATAACTGGGAAATGCAATTGAGCATAAGCAGGATTAATGGGAGTATGTTTGGTTTTGGTTTTTTTTTTTTTTTTTTTTCTTTCTCTATAATGATATCATTTTGACTTGGTATTCTGCCACTACAGCACAAGCTGTGTTGACAGAGAATCCTAGGGGCAGACTGTATGAGCTACTTTGTAGTTCAATTCTTTCTGTGTAGGATCTGCATAAAATTTTTGCATTCCTTATTGGGATTCTGTTAGAGAATTCAGAGTAGTTGTTCTGTATTACTTAATCTGCAAGAGTGAAGAACGACCTATCAAATTTTGACTTGTATTTGAGATCAGAAGCTGCCTCTAATATTTCCTGACGGTGATGTTGAAGATGAAGAGTGTTACAGTCAAGAGTTTTCACCTGCAGGAATAATTTTTCATATTTTTCTATTTGTTTTGTTTCCTTTCCTCCTCCTTCAAGAAATATGAATAAACAGTACACAGAATGGTATTTTACATATAAAGGAGACTACAGTAAAAATCTGAGAAGTAAAATACATTTTCTGGAAATGGTGATTAAATAGTTAAGACACAAAGTCTTTTACTTGACGTATTTCTGGGGCAATGTCTAATTTTTTTACAGTGTTTTATGTCTTTCCTGTTGGAAGTATCAGCCTATAGTCTCTTTAACTACTTTAAAAAATATAATCATGGAAACTGCATTAAATGCTCTAGAACTAATGTTAAAGGGTTTGTAAAAAAGAAAGATATTAAGATTATTATCCCCAGTGCATTCTCTACCAGCTGGCAGATTTATGTGCAATAAATAATTTCATTTACTTTCTTTGAGCCACAGTCAGAAAGATACCCAAGCCTTCTTCAACAATCTAAGCTAGAGTTATTTATGTTACTCTCTCCATTGTCACATGCCCAAGCATCAATGTCAAGTGGCTGGTCCTTTTTCCCCCCCCCAATTCCACATGAATGATGTAGGGGTCAGGGCTTTTGTCTATCAGAGATGTGTTTATAGAAATGCTTCCCAGAGGATGTTTGTCAGTTACTTTTGAAAGTACTGATTCGTGAAAAGCACTGAAGCGTGTGGTTTTATGAATAAGATCTAAAGGTGAGCTGGCGCACAGCTAGCACACATTTACCTGTGAATGGAGCCCTTTTCCACAGAGCAGCTCAAACCACAGGCTGTACTGCAGCCGTTAGCTAAGTTTGCCTGCTGGACTGAGAAATTTGTACACAGCTTTGCTTTGCTTACTCCATATTGTTGATGATTTAGCAGTGTTCAGGGCTAGGTTGGACAGGGCTTTGGGTGACATGGTCTAGTGGGAGGTGTCCCTGCCCGTGGCAGGGGGGGTTGGAACTAGATGATCTTAAGGTCATTTCCAATCCTAACCATTCTATAATTAGAATGTAATTTAATAAAATGAAGCCGTTATATGCATATAAAATCTATTAATTGAGCTCCAAGACTAAATCTGTACTTAATATTATACTATCCGTGTTCTAACACAGAGAACAGAATAGAAAGAGAATTGAGAAACATCAAGGAACTTAATGAAAATAAAGTATATTTTAAAATACCTGTATAAAACTTTTTTATTTTAAAATCTTTTAGGATTCTTTCCTTAGCATCACAGCTCAAGCAAAGTGCTAGAGAATAGTCTGTTAGAAACATTCTGTGGAATGTGGAGGCTGTGCTCAGATGATGAGGAATGTGGAGTGGGAAGCTGTATAAAAATAAGTTCTTTATGGATGTTGAAGTGCATTGTTAAAAAACAATTTGAACAAAGCTGTAGTAAACCTATATTCTGGATAAAATGATGTACAATTATGTTGAGAGCACCCTGAGAATTCTGAGGTGCTGAGTTCTGACTACAGCAATCCTCCTTTATAAGAAGAGAAAGCATTTTGAAATGTGTCTGTATGCATTTGGAGTATTTAATTCTGAGATGGCTTGGGAGATGGAAAGATTCAGCACTGATTATAATTCCTGCCTTGGCTGAAGCTTCCTTAGATAGCAGTAGTAATTTTTTTTCATCATGAAGAAATTTTAAAATAAGCAGTGTCAGGAATTTGCATCAGGGTTAATATGACAGTGAGATTTCTATTGACTTCGCTTTGATCATACAGAAAGAATACAAAGATGAGGCATGTTATGTAAAATTATCTGTCAGATTCAATTCAATAGTTTTGCCCATTCTCAGTATGTATGCTAAGCTTGCCTGTCTCTCTCTAAACCAGGGGTAACATCACTGCTTATTCTTAACTATAGTTGATTTTTTTAAATCTGAGAACTATAATAGTTGAATTTATATTGAACTTACACCTCTATTGTCTTTTTTGTTTCTTTTAAATGTAGGTTACAACACTAGTGAACTGTCCACAGAATCCTTCTAGTAAGAAAAAGGGCCGTTCCAAAAGAGCTCGTGTCTTGTTAGCTTCTGTGGAAGAAGCCACATGGAATCTGTTGGATAAGGGGGAAAAAATTGCCAAGGAAGCAATTGTCTTTAAAGAGGAACTTCGTGCAGCACTTGTTGATGTCCAGAAAGAGAGTAAGTATATGAAAACTGATTTAGGCACTGCAAGGAATTAGTTTAACCATGTAACACTGCTATCAAAATGAGCTAGGATATCCATTAGAAATACATTATGATGTAGAAATGTCTGAACTTTGAGTTGTCTAGTGTTCTCATATACCATTTGAAAGGAGGTAAAGTGTGCAAGCTGGACCCCATTGTGGGAAAATATTCCAAGTAAGACAGGATGCACCTTGGTAATTTTAGTGGCTGTTAAGCACAAGCTGAAGTTAATGCATGCTCTAATGCTCTTATTGAAAAGAACTATTTACCTGTATCTGGGTTTAAGGCCTTTTAGTCAAAAATTTAAAAGCAGAAATCTTTCCTGTTTTGTGCTGTAGTAAGGACTTAATTTGGGAAGGTGTAATTCTCCTGTTTGGATGTATGTTTTGAGACTTCAGTAGGAGAAAGATGGATTCTTTAACCTGCTCCAAGAGTCATTCCTTCATGGTAGAGCAGCTCATATTTGGTGAGTTTTGCCATGTTCCATTTCCTCATGATATATCTCCCTGTTTCCACTCAGACTTTCAGAATTTTACAGTCTACTGAGCATACTGTATTAGCTGCTTTATTTCACACTCCTTGTTGCTTTGTTAATTTTTACTCTCCTCATGGATAATCAAGGCCTATTGGGTAAATATGAAGGCCAAGCCCTAATAGTAATAAGCCAGATGACAGACATCCAGAATGTGTTCCTGCAGAAATCAACCTTGAAAATTGATTCACAAGAAGGTTTCAAGGGAAAAAGGGACAGAAGAGTAATGCTTCTAGTGCCTGGTCATTTGAGAATTACGTCCTTTCATCAGTGCTCTGTGAATTTTGTAAACAAATGGTTCCCAAGGGTTGCCTGGAATCAGATTAAGAGGGGCTGATGGAAGCCTTCCCAAATAAGTGGGAGCAGACATGCAAAGAACAATGGTCTGTACCATAAAGTTATTGTCAGGCCGTGTTATTGAATGAGCTCATAACCAGACTTGGTTTTAACCAAGGGCAAAGCGGGCTTCAGTTGCCTTTTCACTATTGAGCAGTATGTTGTATGTTCTTATGCCATGTGACAACTTTTGGCTGAAGGACTGTGTGTTAGCCACTTAAGTCAGGTCTTTATATCACCCTGCTCTTACTAAAGCTGCAACTTAATCAGGTTGGGGTTTTTGGTGTGTTGGGGTTTTTTTTTGGTTTTCTTTTTTTTTTGTTTTGTTTTGGTTTTTTTGTTTTGTCATCTTCCATGCACAGCAGGGGCAGTTTCTGAGTCTCTGCTGTTGTTCAGGGTAGTGATTACTAGCTATTGGCTTCCTCTGGAATCCAGAAGTGGCTGCATTTTAGAGTTCGATATATGCGTATGGTGTCTGAGATACCTTAAGGTCCTTTGTGATTAAAAGCATTATGACCAGCAAGTGTCATTGTTATCTGTCACACTTATCAGCTGAAGCTTTTAAAAAAATCATTCGTTTTGGAGTACTTTTAAAGTTCACCCATCCATTCTAGGCTGATAACACAAGACAAGAATAAAATACATAGTTTCATATTGATTTTTATACATAATATAAAAATAGTTCACATTATCAATTTATTTATTGATTCTCAGCCAAGACCAGAGATAACTACAAAAATAAATAATACATAAAGTAGACTATATACACCTCATACATTTTAAAAGAAAGTTAAGTCCATGTTATCACCTACCATTATGCAATGACAAGTTGAGTGCTCACAGCTGATCTTCCTCCAAGAATTTGCCAAACTGCACAAGTTAATTTTAAGAAGTTGGTGAACAACTCTAAAATAAATAGCAGTTTGCTAATTTTGCAGATATTTTTAGTCTTTTGAAGCTGTGTATCATTTTTAATTTGTGGTATGCCACATTAGATGTAACTTTATTGCAGTTACAATTGTTACAATAGATGTAACAATTGTAATTATATGTTATTCAAGCCACGTTCTGATGATGATGATGATTGTCTCATGTTATTTACTTCAAGCTCTTTGAAGTCATAAATTCTGCTTGTATGCAGACACCTGCCACGCATGTGATAGCATGTAGTGTTAAATCTTCTGTGGGCATACTTCTGTGGTGACTAGCAGCTATATTTATTAATATGCTCTTAAATAAGTTATGAGTTTTTGTATGTGGCTACAGCTTGTATTTTCACTCGGATGTGAACCAAGCTATCATTCCCCAAGTGGCACACCATCTGGAAAGAATAAATACTCTCTCACCAGTTCTTCCATTTTCACTTGTGTCACTCAGCTTGTTGAGTTGAAGACCGTAACATGAGTATTAAATGTTTTTCTTTTGAATGTCATTTGCCAGTGTGAAAATGCTGCTTTGATACTTTTGGAGCTCATTAATAGGGGTTCCTTTCAGAGGAGTGATAGGCTTTTTCCAAGTTGCTGCTGCTAATCTTGCTCGTAATAATGTTTTGGGGAAGAAAGGGGCAAAATACTAGGATGAAAGTGAACAGTGAAAGTGAGATAAATAGAAGATTTGTCATATTTAATCAATCTGTTGCATTAGTGACTCATCTGATGTCTTCAGAAATGGGGACACGGCTATGGCTTTGCTGACTACAGTTCAGTCTTGACAAACACTGTCAGTAGATGAGGTTTTGGTCTCTCAAATTCAATTGAGTTCTGTTAGTGACACCTGAAAGAAGGTGTTGCTATAATGGATGTCAGGCATTTTCGCTGGATACATCTAGTTTCTGCTTCCTTTGACATCTGCAAACTTTTATCAAAGATTTATAGTCTTAAAGCTGATCCTTTTAATATAGACATCCTCCGCATTTTGATTCGAGCTTCCTCTCGAGAAGATACTTTTTAGGGCCTGTCTCCATCCACATCTTGATTCTCCTTCTTCTGGAACTCTACTGACTGAGTCATCAGGCAGACCTCAGGGTGGTGAACTGTGTGCATCACCTAGAAATGCTATGTTTTCCTGTTGATCTGGTTTGGTGAAGCTTTGTTAAAGGTACTCATGTTCACGTTTTTATTCTAAAATAGTGCAATAAACCCAAATACAAGTATTTTGAAAAATTCTCGCTGCCAGATTTCAAAAATTGCCTTCTGCCTCATAATGTGCTGTGAATTAATAAAAAAATAACTGACATCTATACAAAGAAGTAAGAAGCAAGACCCAAGGAAGTTGTGAATGCTCCATCCCTGTCAGTGTTCAAGGTCAGGTTGGATGGAGTCTTGGGTGATATGGTTTAATGCGAAGTGTCCTTGCCCATGGCAGGTGGGTTGGAACTAGATGATCTGAAGGTCCTTTCCAACTCTAACTATTCTGTGATTCTATGATTCTATAATTCTAAGCATTGTTCAAACATGAATTCTTCTGACACTAAATATCAGCCTATAACTGATGTCCCAGTTCTGATATTTAATAAATTTTAAGACAAGCAATGTAGTTTGTGTATGTAGGGAAACGTTCTCTTAGGAATATGCACTGAAGTCTAAGCATTATACATAGGGTAGTGACTTTTTGCATTTATGTCAAGGTGTGGTTGCTTATAGATTTCAAACAGTTGTACAGGCATAGCTAAAGTGTTTGGTATTTTTTGTCATTGCTTACTGACTATATATGGTCAGAATCACAACAGTTGTCTGAGTTGTTTCTATCTATTGCAGTGTCAATGTTCCACGTGTTTAGCTGTTATCAGGCTCAAGTGTGTTCCTAGATAAGCCTTTCATCACATGTAACAGTTAATTCAAAGCAAGTTACTTGGAGTTACATTTTGAGCCTTCAGTTACTCTTTAAAAGGAAATCAGAAAAAAAAAATATTTCAGATGTCCATATTTAATGTCTCTTGGTATTAAACAGGGGAGACAAGACTTTGATGGCATGGAAGAAACTACCATTCACTGGCAAGATGGGGAGCGTACTGTAAGGATATTTACTACAGGAAGAGGATAGTAATCTCTTGTATTGTACCATATTCTTATTTGTCCCCCAAAAAAGTCTTAAAAATAAGCTTAGCTTTCTCATCCTGCATTAAGAGGTACATGCGTATGGTCTGCATCTAAGGGACTTTCATTTTGGGAGACAGAATTTAGTCAGTCAAGTGGCTTAAAATAACCTATCCTGTATACCCTTTTAATCAAACCAAGAACAGATGCCCTGTGAAAAAGCTTCTGATATCACCATCACTGGGTCAGGTGTTCCTGAGTGGGAAAGAGGGAATGAAGAAAGGGGTGTAAGGTATGAAGGGGGTGTGTGGTGGCGGCTCTGATTACATTTTAGGAAGAACTGTATGACATGTGGAAGTGGAACTTCCTGGAATGAAGTTCTGAAGTAAGTGTAATGCAACAGAATACAGTGGTATCTGAGTGGGGGTGAGATTGTGTGGCAGGAGAAAAATGTCCTTTAATATCTACAGAAAGCTGTTGTGAGAATCTGAGTTATCATGGTGTTGAATATTAGGAACATGAAGAAGGAATCGATCTGCTTTGCCCTGACATTTACAGTGTTACTTACAGCGTTACTTACAGCTGGCTGCCTGAAGCAGGATCCTTTATTTGCTGTAGCAGATGGAGATCGTATTTGTGGGAGCAGAACAGATGATTATACTAGTTACTAGTGTTGTTTAATCTCTTGGTTTTTTAGCAAGGGTAGGTTGTTTTGTGTTCTAATGTGACATTGACTCCCAACCACTCTCTGGTGGTGATTCTGCTTATGTGTTAGTTCATGCCTATGGAAATTGAGTTTGCAAATAGTAGTGTAAATCAGTTTATAAGTTTTCTATTATTAATATAAGCCGTTGAGATTACCCTTCCCCTCCCCTTCTCCCGCCTTTCTTTCAAGTTTGAGACTAGGACGTTTGAAATCCTCTCTTTTTACTGACTCTGGAATGTCCCTCCCTCCCATAGTCAATGAGCTCCCTTTTTCAACTGTATTTCTCTGGAACTGTAAATCCACCAGCCTGTAAGGGTGCAGTTCACAGGAGTGGACTTTCTTGGCAACAATATCTCCTTGTGGGAGGATACAAGACTGGCATAAATTCATTGCATTCCATGTGGGTTTCACATTGCTGCAGTTAAAAATAAAAAATGAGAGGAGAAAACCAGATGTAAAAACAAATAGAAATGTGATCCTTAGATGGGATTTAGTAGAAGAAAGAAAATCTATTCAAAGAAATAAAAGAAGAAAGCATAATTCTGATGGTCTCGCCTAAACCAATAGAGAACACTTAGCTGTTGTTAGACTGTGATGTTGAACACTGTCTCTAAGGGGTGCCCAATCACTGCAGTTAGTAGTATTCCTGCAAGTGTCTGTATAGACAGATTGCCAGCCATCAGCTAGCCATCGCCTTAACAGCCCAGCAGAAGTGTGTGCCTTTTGTCAGTTATTTACCAACAGCAAATTTACCAACAGGCTTGCAGTTGGATTGTTTTTAAAGGAATTGCCATGACAGTTTTTGGATATTTTTGGTGCTGGATATAGTGCATGGATCCCCTAACTTTTTTTTTTTTTTTTAAATTACCTGTGGCTGG